TTGACTCTTGACGAACGTATCTTTTCTTTTATGTACACTGAGAGCATTTGCACCAAAGACAAATTCCTTGTGTGTCCAATCACACTTGGCCAATAAAGAATATTCTATTCTATTCTATTCTGTTCTGTTCTGTTCTGTTCTGTTCTGTTCCGTTCCATTCCATTCCATACAACTGCAGTGATTCACTGAACAACTGTGGCAACAAAGGTCATAAAAAGGGGGGGGGGATTCACTTAATGACTTGCTTGGCAACAGAAGTTTGAGACTCAGTTTTTGTTGTAAGTCCAGGATTACTTGTTATTAGGGAGATGAAAGAAGAATTGAACTGGGAGCAGAAGAGGCGAAATGGCCGTTCAGCAGTAGGAAAATTGAAAGCACAAGAACGAGTCACCAAGCAGCCCTCGGTTTTGCTGTCCTTAAAGGGGGACAGTGAAAATTTTGGAGAGGCTTTCCAGATTCTGTTAAACTACCCCAGCTTTGCTTTGCTGGGGAATTCTGGGAGTTGAAGTCCACTCATCTTAAAGTCACCAAGGTTGAAGAATAGAAATAGAAATAGGAATAGGAATAGAATAGAATAGGAATAGAATAGAATAGAATAGAATAGAATAGAATAGAATAGAATAGAATAGAATAGAATAGAATAGAATAGAATAGAATAGAATAGAATAGAATAGAATAGAATAGAATTATTTATTGGCCAAGTGTGAATTTGTCTTTGGTGCCTATGCTCTCAGTGTACATAAGAAAAAATAAAATACATTCATCAGGAATCATAAGATACAACATTTGATAGTCATGGGTTACTAATAAGTAATTAAATCAAACTAGGAAAACAAAACAATATAAATTGTAAAGATACAAGCAACACGGTTATAGTCATAAGTGGGAAGAGATAGGTAATAGGAAGGATGAGAAGAAGAATAGTAAGTAATTTGATCTTACTAAGTAATCTTACTAAGTAATTTGACAGTGTTGAGGGAATTATTTGTTTAGCTGAATGATGGCATTTGGGGAAAAAACTGTCCTTGTGTCTAGTTGTTCTGGTGCGCAGTGTCCTATAGCGTCGTTTTGAGGATAGAAGTTGAAACAAAACAAAACCAAAGTTGGAGAGAAAAAACCACTGAATTATAAAGTTATGCTTGGCTCCTACCTTTTTTAGGTCTTGGCTTGAAGTCTTTCATGTGAGCAATCTCTGTCCTGACCTAAGAGCTGTATCTACATCTCTGCCCTCAAGGCTCTTGTCCTGCTCAGAAACAGATATACACTTGACACCTGTATTTCTCTCTCTCTCTCTCTCTGCCCCAGATGTGTCTGAAATAGAGAAGCTGAAGGATGCCTTTGGCAGGGTGGTTTTTTACTTGGAAGAGAAAGGCATGGGCAAAGGTAGGTATGCTCCATAGAACGTGGCTGCATTGGTGAGATTATCTTCCAGCCATTTTCGTTAAGACCCACGGCTAGCAGAGAAAAGTGGGATGGCCTATGTGACACAGACGGGCACAGTTATGCTACCCAAGCCTCCTGGATTGAGAAGACTCACTTCTCTCTTGGATTTAGAAAATGCTGCATGTATAGGTTTAGAGTAAATGCATACATCCCATATGATGAAGGTAATCCTCAGTTTAAGACCACAACTGAACCCCAAATTTCTGTTGCTAAGCAAGCCAAAGCAACAGAAACGTAGGTTAGTCCAAACCTGCTGAATTCCATTCTGACTCGACTCCTTTTTCACCAGGACTAGAGGTTTAGTCTTTCAAGGTTTTGGACCTGTGCAGGAGCCCATCTTCGGGGAACTTTTCTCTCACCAGAACATCCATCTGTCTGTCTGTCTCTTTCTCTAACACACACACACACACAGGGAGGGAGGGAGGGAGAAAGAGAGAGAGAACGAGAAAGGAAGAGAAAGAGAAAAAGAAAGGGAGAGAGAGACAGAAAGGAAAGAGAGACCCACAGAGAGAGAACTGGATGCCTCTGGCTACTCCAGCAAATGCTGAACATCTGATATTAGTTCAGACCTGCTGAATTCCAGTCTGATTCGACTCCTTTTTCAGGTTCGCAACCTACATTGGCTCCTGACACAAACAAACCATTGCATTGGTTGCATTGACAAAGCGTCTATAATCTTCCCACGGCCCATTAAATCACATTCTGTTTATTACTATTAAAATAAACAGAAGGATTCCTGTTCAAGAAATGATTAGTTGATGACAGCTATAGCTTAACTCCTTAGAGCAATATTTCTCAACCTGGGCTGCTGTAAGATGCGTGGACTTCAACTCCCATAATTCCTCAGTTAGCATAACTGGCCAGAGAATTCTGGGAGCTGAAGTCCATACAGCTTAAAGTGACTTATATTGAGAATCACTGCTTCAGAAAAACTCTTTCCCATTTTCTAATTACACAATTACAATTATTCAGCTACTGCTGAGTGTTGGTGTTCAGGGTGGCCTAGGTGGAGGGAAGATAAAAGAATGTTTTTCTTTTGTTTGAGTGTTTGCAATACAGAGAGCCAAGCTGGACACTTTCTAAACTTTTGACACACTGAGTCCAAAAAGTTTGCCTTAGCTAGACTTAGTGGTTCAGTGATAGACTTCCTTCCTTCCTTCCTTCCTTCCTTCCTTACCCCTTTCCTTTCCTTCTTTTCCTTTCCTTCTTTTCCTTTCCTTTCCTTTTCTTCTTTTCCTTTCCTTTCCTTCCTTCCTTCCTTCCTTCCTTTCTTCCTTCCTTCCTTCCTTCCTTTCTTTTCCTTTCCTTTTCTTCTTTTCCTTTCCTTCTTGTCCTTTCCTTCCTTCCTTCCTTCCTTCCTTCCTTCCTTCCTTCCTTCCTTCCTTCCTTCCTTTCCTTCCTTTCCTTCTTTTCCTTTCCTTTTCTTCTTTTTCTTCTTTTCCTTTCCTATTCTTGGCAGGACTAGACTTCCTGTCTCTGGAACTTCTCTGGAGTTTTTTTTCCCCCTCCTTTGCTGGTACTTTGCTTGTGTGGAGTGAGTGACCATTCAAAGTTACAGTGGCACTGAAAAAAGTGACTTATGACCATTTTTCACACTTACAACTGTTGCAGCATCCCCACAGTCACGAGAGGCTAGGCGAGGAGATGCGTGCCTCGATGTGAGTGATACTGAGTTGGCCACACCCAGCCAATAACATGACCACCAAGCCAGGGCCACAAACCAACCCACGCCCACAGAACCAGTTGTTAAAAAATTTGAATCCCAACCCTGGGTGTAGGAGTGCTTTTCAAACCCAGATATTTCAGGTTGTCTGGACTTCCAACTCCCAGAAGCTGCCAACCAACATGGCTACTGGCTGGGGAATTCTGGGAGTTAAAGTCCGCATGTCTTAAAGTTGCCAAATATGCAAAACACGGATATATTCATTCCACCTCTATCTGCCTCCATGCACCCAGCCTGCGCTGGCTGAGGAATTCTGGGAGTTGAAGTCCACAGTTGAAGTTGCCAAAGTTGGGGAGCCCTGCTTTAAAGCATTTTAACCAATAAAAACCCAGAAGCAAAACTTTCCTTCTTCCCCCAGTAAGTGGGAGCAGGTGTGCAGGCCCAGACGGTGGTAATTCAGTAGCTGCTTGAATGGCTTGGAACAGCAAAGATTCATGCCTGCAGCAGGGCAGCCCGTGTGAAGGTTGTGCCGCTTGGCTGTACACGTCTTGATCAAAGGAAAGAGAGCAACTGGGTGTTTCTCCATCTCTCCACAGCGCCTTTTCAGCAAGCGGTTCCCGAGGCGGTGAAAGAAGTGGAAAAAGAAGTAGCACAACTCAAAGCGGGTAAGAGGAGAGAGCTGCAGCTGTAGGAAGAGAGATTTCGTGACACGTTGCTTGATGTTGGATGGAGGAATCTCTGATGCTCTCCGGTTGTTTCCCTGCAGACATTTCATTACCCAGCTAGGTAACATCAGCAGCACTGAGGTTGGATTCTCATCCTTAGCTTTGCAAAGAGGCTGTTTGTTTGTGCCATTTTCCTATGCCACACACTCCCATCGATCGATCAATCAAGTCTTTTTTGAGATCATAGACCAGCATAGGAAGGGTGGAATACAAACAAACAGATGATAAAAAATATAATGCACAAAAATGCACACAGAGAAAAAAGGTAAAGGAGGGAGAGAGAAAAAAACAGAAAGAAAGAGAAAGAGAGAGAGGAGAAAGAGAGAGAAAGAGAAAGAAAGAAAGTGAGGGGGAGAGGGAGAGAGAGAGAAAAGTAAAGGAGAGAGAAAGAGAAAGAAAGAAAGAGAGAGAGAGAAAAAGAGAGAGGAGAAAGAGACAGAAAGAGAAAGAAAGGGGGAGAGAGAGAGAGGGAGGGAGGGAGAGAAAGAACTGGATGCCTCTGGCTACTTCAACAGATGCTGGAGATCTGAGATTAGTTCAGACCTGCTGAATTCCATTCTGACTCGACTCCTTTTTCAGGTTCACAACCTACATTGGCTCCTGACACAAACAAACCAGTTGGGTTCACCCAAATGCTAAATACGGCTGGCGTTGATGGGGAAACCAGCCGAGTTTAGCATCTTGTGCGAATGCAGCTGCTGGTTCTTTAACTCGGTCAGCTGAACCTCTGGTGTGAATCCTAAGAGTATCAATTGCTTCAAGGCTGGGTAGATGCTGACAAAGTCATCATACCTAGCTTAGGAGTTTTCCTGAAGAATTTGCTGGATTATTATACCAATTAAGCTGGGTTATTTAACTTTTAAACTTATAAAAATCAACCTCAGTTTGAGTCGAGGGAAACAATCTGCTTCCAGAGAACCTTTAAAAATGGTGGCAGCAAACTTTTTGGATTGCTAAAGACTTTTGGCCGATCGTACAAAACAGGGGATCCAGCACATTATTCAATCTTCTGATTCAAGTTGTGGTCAAATGTCCAATCAGAAAAAGTACACCTCAACTTCCCTCCTGTCTTTACAGCACCACCTTGCATTCCACCATGTGGTAAGTCCAAATATCTGGTATTTTTTTAACCCGTCTTCCTCAGTTCATATCACTGTATCCCATCTTCCCTACTTCCCTGCTTAGGCAGGAAACCCTATAGCATTTCAGATAAATGGTTATTCAATCTCTTCTTAAAAACCTCCATTGTTGGAGCATTTACAACTTCTGGAGGGAAGTTGTTCCACTGATTAATTGTTCTCACTGACAGGAAATTTCTCCTTAATTCTAGGTTGTTTCTCTCCTTGATTAGTTTCCACCCATTGCTTCTTGTCCTACCCCCGTGATGGCGAACCTGTGGCATGCGTGCCACAGGTGGCACGCAGAACCATTTGTGCTGCTGGCACACAAGCTGCAGGCAAACTTACCTCACTGGGCACGCGCGCGCCTCACAGCAGATTTTTGGCTGGTTTGAGGCCTTTCTCAGAGTCCCAAAGGCTTGAGAAAGGCTTCTGCAGGCTTTGTAGGCCAAAAACTAGCCCCCGTTTCGTCACTTCTTGTTTTTCTGAAAATACCGGAAGTGACGAAACGGGGCTAGTTTTCGGCCTGCAAAGCCTGCAGAAGCCTTCCTTTGGGAGGCCGAAAAAGGCCTCAAAAATCAGCTCAAAAAGGCGCAGTGCAGGTAAGGGGGTGGCGGGGGTGGGTGGGGATTATGTGCGCATGTGTAGGGGGCGTGGGGGGACACGCATTGCCTTCTGGGTGCTGGCAAGTGAGTGCGAGCATGCAAGCAGGCGCACAATTTTTGGCACAGGAGCCCCAAAAGTTTAGTCACCACTGTCCTACCCTCTGGTGCTTTGGATAATAGTTTGACTCTCTCTTCTTTGAAGCAGCCCCTGAGATATTGGAACCCTGCTATCATGTCTCCCCTAGTCCTTCTTTTCATTACACTAGACACACCCAATTCCAGCAACCCTTCTTTATATGTTTTAGGCTCCAGTCTTTGTTTAGTTTAGTTTATTGTCATTGCACCCTGTACAACGAAATTAAATGCCATCTTTAGTGTACATTATAACTATAAAAATACAACACCAGCATACATCCTTCCCATTCTATACAATTGAATTGAAAACCCCTGTCATTGCACGATTAATGCACTGTGCAGTATAATTCAGTATAATTACTGCCCTGGGATAGAAGCTGTTTTTCAGCCTATTTGTCCTTGTTTTTATTATCCTGTACTGTCTGCCAGATGGTAATAGTTCAAAAAAAAAAAAAAAAAAGGGTGCCCAGGATGAGATGGATCTTTAAGGATGTTTTGAACTGTCTTAAGGCAGCAGGAGCTGTAAAGCTCTTCTCTGCACACTTTCTACAGTCTCAACAACTTTTTTTGCATCATGGCCACCAAAAATGGATGCAGGATTCCAAGTGCAGTCTTACCAAGGCATTATGTTCTCACAACCCCGTTTCATGTTCCTTGCAGGCTACCAGAAAGAAGCCCACTACTACAAATGTTCCTCTTGTTCCATCATGGATTGCCAGCTACCCATCGATTGCCCAAGTAACAGTTCCTTTTTTTCAAAAAAACTAGAGATTTGCTACTGTAGCGTTTCCTGCCTAAGCAGGGGTTTGTAGTAGAACAGTGGTCACCAACCAGTGGGCCGGGGACCACTGGTGGTCCATGAGAAAAATTTGGTGGTGTGCAGAGAAATGTCACCCCCCAAAGCAATTAATCCAGGCTGTGTGGGAACACAAGCCTGCGCCACCCACACGGCCCATGGGAACACAACGCTTGCGTCACTTGCATTGCGAACAACACGAGGGAGTGAGGGGAGGGGGAAAGGGCGGAGGGGGGGAACTCGCCCCACACGCCTCGCCTGGCCACCGGGCTGCTTCTTTCCATTTCTTTCTTCTTCTTTTGGCTGCATGCAAGGAAAGCAGCAAAAGTCTTTCTTTCTCTCCCCCAAACTCCTCCAGAAATGAGTCTTTGGGACTTTGCAAGGCCTCCTGCTCCAAGAGGCTGCACTGGCAAAGACTCATTTCTGGCAGAGTTTGGGGGAGAGAAAGAAAGACTTCTGCTGCTTCTGCTGCTTTCCTTGCATGAAGCCAAAAGTCTCTCTCTCTCTCTTTCTCTCTCTCCCCCTTCCCTCCCGAGAACAGAGCTGAAAAGCAGGTTAGGAAAGTGGCTGCCTTGGAGGGGATGGAGGTGTGTGAGGGACCTTTTTTGTGTGTGTGAGTGTGTGTGTGTGTGTGAGAGAGAGAGAGAGAGAGAGAACTCTCTCCCTCCCTCCCTCCCTCTCTCTTTCCCACCAACATCAGCAAGCCACCGTCAGTCAAAATTCATATTAGTGGTGCATGGGATTTAAAGTTATGAGTTTGGTGGTCCCTGAGGTCCAAAAGGTTGGTGACCCCTAGACTAGAAGACTTCCGAGGTCACTTCCAATTCTGTTATTCTATTCTATTCTAAACTTAAACTAGAGATTTGCTAAAGAAGCCATGGGGGGGCAGGGGGGGGGCTGGGAAAGACCTCTGTCTGAAACCCGTCAGAACTTCAGGCAGTCCAGAGGCTCCAATTCACACAACATGCCCTTTGGCTTCCGAATTAAACCACCTTCTGAAGTTGTGCAGCGCAGTGAACTCTGAGCTAACAGACTGGCTTTGCGCCAAAGCCAAAGACAATGATTGAGCAGCCATGTTTAATACAGGAAGTCCTGGATTTACAACAGTTCATTTAGTGACCGTTCAAAGTTACAATGGGAAAAGCGACTTAAGACCGTTTTTCCTGCTTAACGACCACTGCACCATCCCCATGGTCACGCGATCAAAATTCAGACACTTGGCGACTGACTCATATTTATGACCGTTGCGGTGTCCGGGGTCATGTGATCATGAGCCCTTCTGACGAGCAAAGTCAATGGGGAAGCCAGCTTCACTTAACAACGGTGTGACTTACTTAATGACTGCAATGATTCACTTCACGAATGTGGCAAGAAAGGGGACAAAATTCACTTAGCAGATGTTTCATTTAGCAACAGAAATGTTGAGCTCAATTGTAGTCGTAAGTCCAGGACTCTCTTCCCTGTATGTTGTGTGGATGATGTCTGACCTGGGTAAATGCTTCGTGTGAATGCAGCTAATGTAAACTAGGGGCAGGAGATCATTTGGTGGTAATAAATCACACATCTATATTATCTTCATGATTCTCCCAGTTCAGGATATACACAAATTGGAAGGAGACGCAACTTTTCTGAACTGCGAAGTTGCCTTCCAGACTTCTCCAGACAGGACTTTCCGGTGGAAATTTGTCAAAGATGTAAGTAACTCTTTGTGGATTGAGGTTCATCCCGTGTGAAGCTGTAAGATTCAACAGGAGATAAACTTTTTTAGATCTTTTGCTCTAAGGGGGAGTTTATCCTCCAATAGGCCCCTGGGCCACACAACGGTCTTCTAGATTTTAAAACGTATTTATTATCTTTTGTCAACAAAAACAAAATGCAAAACAGAAAGACAGAAAAACAAACATCCAATACTAACAACAAAAAGAAAAAAAAATCTTATGTACAAAAAAGAGAGAAAAAGAAGTCAAATAATTTAACATTTAGCCTAAAAAATCTACCCCAACTGGATGCTCACAAAATAATAAGAAATCTAATATGTTCTCCTTCCCTTAATGTAATGGATCTACAAATAGTTACAAACGTTCCCATCTGCATTTAGCAAAAATACTGTATTAAATAAACAAATATCTCAGATAGAATGGAACAGAATGGAGCAGAATAGAATAGAATTCTTTATTGGCCAAGTGTGATTGGACACACAAGGAATTTGTCTTGGTTCAAATGTTCTCAGTGTACATAAAAGAAAAGATACATTCGTCAAGAGTCAAGAATCATAAGGGACAACACTTAATGAGGGTCATAGGGTACAATAAGCAATCAAATCATACTAAGAAACAGTCAGTAAAAATTATCAGCATACAAGCAACAAGGTTACAGTCATAGAGTCGTGAGATGTGGAAATTTGTCTAATAATCAAATCGACTCAACAACTTAATCACAATATATACTGTATGTAAAAGAGAGAAAAAACAACAGCCAACAGGTTAGCTGAAATTATTACACTTCAAATCTCTTTGTTAATCATCTGTCATTTTATTTAACATTTAGAATGTCCACAAATGGCTTCCGGTCTCTTATAAAGTTGTCTAATCTATTGTCTCTAATCAAGGTGTTGTAGAATGATAAATCAAGGGTTTATAGATTAACTAATAGGGGCAGTAAATTGCATTACCCCATTTGAATAGAGGTAGTCCTCGACATACGACCACAAGTGAGCCCAATATTTCTGTTGCTAAGCGAGGCATTGACGTTTCTTGTCAGAAGGTTGCAAAAGGGGATCACTGTTCTGACCCAAACCTGGTTCCAAGAAAGCAAACACAAGACAAAGGCAGCAGTATAATCTGTTTTAAGTTTCAGTTAAGAATCCTGTTTCTTCACAGATAAAAAGCTGCTTCCAACTAATTAGCTCCGACAAAAAAGAGCCTTGCCAAGTTTTTTCAAGTCTGACAAAAAACAAAAACAGATAAGAAATAGTTTACAAGAGTCTTCAAATACCAACTGTAATGTCCACGAGGCTGGAGTTTCAAAACGTCTTTGCCTTCTGCAAAGAGCGTTCGCTTCACAGCTGGCTTTTATCTTCTTGAAGGAGGGGCTATTACCTTGCAGCCTTACTCCTGAATCGCCTGTGCTCCTTGTAACTGCTCTTTCCTACGAGCAACCCTTTGTGCATGTGCACTTGGCACAGGCTCCTCGGGAACCTCCTCATCGCTGCTGCCAGCCCCCACAATCTCTGAAGGCCATTCCCTCATGGTCCTGGCCCTTCATCTGACTCCTCGCTCTCCTCAGTCGTCTGCACCTGCTGAGGCTAACCACAATAATCACTTGATCCCAGGGACACTGCAACGGTGATAAATGTGAGTCAATTGCCAAGCCTCTGAATTTCGATCATATGACCATGGGGATACTGCAATGGTTGTAAGTGTGAAAATCAGTCATAAGTTACTTTTTTTCAGGGCAGTTGTAACTGTTGTAAGTCGAGGACTGCCCGTATAGGGGAAATACAATTTCCCTCAGATCTGTGTGTGCCAAGGAATGGTAACTATTTGCATTTTGTAAAACCCTATAATCCCTTGTAAACCACTTGAGAAGCTGCTGTAACTGATAGAAGGGAATATTAGTAGCTCAGGGTTGAACTGCTCAGTCGGTCCTTGGTGCTCTCTGAGCTTGGAGGTTTTCTTGCAGACGTTTCATGACCAAACCAGGTATCCCAAGCGCACTGATGATGTTACCTAGTTTGGTCATGAAACGTTTGCAAGGAAACCTCCAAGCTGAGCACCGAGCACCCCCAAAGCCACGTGAAAGCGTGACCTTGCAGGACCTGAATCTCCACCTTCCATCAACAGCTCAGGACGGAGGAACTCTTTCTCTTCCAAGACCTTAATTTTGGAGTCAACCCTTCCCTCCTCATTCGACCCACCCTTGGATCTCATCACGGGACCTTTGCCTGCGAACTTGAAGAGGAGAGTGATGTGGTGATCAGGAAGTATTTTTATGTCAATGGTGAGGGGCCACAGTTTCCAGCAGTACAGACTGAATGCTTCAAATCGGGGATGTCGTATTTTAATAGGGAAGCTAATTGTTTGTCATTTCCATGTTGAGGCTCCAAACTCAACTTCTGAGCAGCTTATAATATAAGGGTTTCCCTCCTCCCAAACCTCCCCCTGCTATGAATTTATTTAATTTATAAATTTATAAATTTAATTTATTTAAGAAAATTCATATTGGTGTCCAACTCACTTTCAGTAACTCCAGGCAGCTTACAAGGATAAAATCCCAAGACAAAAAGCAAAACCAATACAAAAAGCTGGTGGCAACAATCAAACAAGCCATTTGATGGGTCCCATGCAGAGGTGGTATGTTCAGCAGGTTCTGACCAGTTCTGGAGAACCTCTAGCGGAAATTTTGAGTAGTTCGGAGAACCGGCAAATCCCGCCTCTGACTGGCCCCGCCCCCATCTATTCTCTGCCTCCCAAGTCCCAGCTGATTGGCTGGGTCTTCTTTGGTTGCCCTGCACAGGAAAACGGAGCTGGAAAGCAGGTTAGTGGGGTGGGGAGCAGAGGTGGTCTTCAGCAGGTCCTGACCAGTTTTGGAGAACCAGTACAGGAAATTTTGAGTAGTTCGGAGAACCAGCAAATACCACCGCTGACTGGCCCCGCCTCCATCTATTCTCTGCCTCCCAAGTCCCAGCTGATCGGCTGGGTCTCCTTTTGTTGCCCTGCACAGGAGAACAGAGCTGGAAAGCAGGTTAGTGGGTTGGGGAGGGAATGGGGATTTTGCAGTATATCCTTCCCCGGCCATGCCCAGCAAGCCATGCCCAGCAAGCCATTTCACGCCTACCAAGCCACGCCCACAGAACCGGTAGTAAAAAAAATTTGAATCCCACCACTGATCCCATGTCATTCTGTGGTCTCCTCTTCCTTCAGAGCAGCTGTTCAGAGCAGTGGGCTGCCACCATCTGAAAGATATCACTTTCCTTTTCCTTGGGGGGGTGGGGGTCTCATTTTGATAACAGAACTTTAGAACGAACTAACGTTAACCCGACCTCTTAAATCACCTGAAAGCCTGCAGAGATTCACAGCCATCCAGGTCATGGTTGCCCCAAAGGTGCTTTTTTCAGGAGGCACCTGGACTTTCTTGTTTTTTTCTTTGAAGACATTTCGCTTCTCCTCCGAGAAGCTTCTTCAACTCTGAATTGGATGGTATAATTTCTCTACAAGAAATTATATTTCTTGTAGAGAGCTAGTCATTTGCATTCTTTTTAGAGAGTCGTTGAGGCCGCTTGGAGGTTTTGTCTCTGTTCTCGGGGGGGGGGGGGGGTCACCCAAGTAGTGCCAATGGGTGTGGGGCCTTCTTGGCTGCAGGATGTTTTCCGTCCCGGGTGCCTTCCCTGTTGAAGAGAGGCGCAGGCAGATAAACCACCAAGTGGCCTCAACGATTCTCTGAAAGCATGCAAATGACCGGCTGTCTGCAACTGTCATAAATACGAGTCCATTGCCAAGGGTCTGAATTGTGATCACGTCACCAGGATAAGGCCAATGGTTGTAAGTAAACTTTCAACCATTGTAAGTCGAGGATTACCTGTGTTTCAACCCTTCTGGCCTTACTCCTTCATATACTGGTATGAAAGGGCAATGAAGATGGTGTATTTCAGAGAGAATTCCAGCTTTAAGTCGCCAAAGTTGAGATACCCTGGCTTAGCAATAGCTTACATACTGCTTTATAGTGCTTTCCAGCCCTCTCTAAGCAGTTTACAGAGTCAGCCTATTGGCCCCAGCAATTTGGGTCCTCATTTGACCCACCTCGGAAGGATGGAAGGCTGAGTCAACCTTGAGCATGGTGAGATTTGAACTCCCAAATTGCAGGCAGCTGGCAGTCAGCAGAAGTAGCCTGCAGAACTGCACCCGAACCACTGAGCCACCCAGGCTCTTAGAAAGTTCCTACCCTGTGATGGCCTTGCTGTGAGCGGCAGGCCAACTCTTTTGCTGTGTGTTTTGCAACGTCCCTTTTTCTTATTGCAGTGACCGAAAAGAGGCTCGGAAAAGAGAAAAAGCTGCAAGAAATGTTTAAGGCCATCCTGAATTCCCCACCGGAGTTGGTACAGGAAGCCGTGGTGGGGAACAAGTTACCGTCTCTTCAAGATCTCCTGTCCCAGCCTGATTACCTCAGGAAAAGGGGTGTCATTGGGCTTATCCTTGGAATAACTGGGGTATCCCTGCTGGTTACTTTAGC